GCCTTGCTTAAGCCCTCGTGCCTCTTTAGGGTTTTGTCATTGAACAGGGTCTCCTGCTGGTGATCGAAGTCATCGGCTGGCCTTGTGACTGCTCGGCCATCCCGTTTCTTTAGCCACCTCTCCTCCCAAGCCTCCTGCACCACCCTGTCTGTGTCGGCTGTTCCACCTGTCCAATCTGCGATTGTGATGGTGGCTGTTTCCACTGCTGTAGGCTTCTGCGGTCCGAAGGCAGTAGATTAAGTAGGTTAAAGTGAATGTATATCTACCTTTGGAGGTAACTTATTGTTGTGGAGGCTCCACATGTAGGCCAGACCGCCCTTGGCAGGGATCCACAACCACTTGGTTGCCCAGGCCACTGCAGTTCGTAGCTTGCTCTCTTTCTTGAACATTTTCGTATTCATCAGCTTTCGCATCACCATTTTCCTCACGTTGCTCCTGTATCTCGCAACACTTATTCACGTTTAATCAGGTTAGCCAACGGATTAACCAGGTTGGATAACGGATTAATCAGGTTTGAGTGAATACGTACCTGGATACAGAGGAAAAAAGGGGAAAAAACAGCGACGACCCAACTGGGACTCGAACCCAGAACCTCTACCAGCAGGAGACAACCGGAAAGTAGCGCGCTACCATTGCGCCATCAGGCCACAGTTATTATTACTCCGGAGTGTAAAATTTTAGTTTATATCCACAGCATTGTTTTGGCGCCGTACTCCGCAAAACCACATTGTTAAGAAGATCGTCAACGACGGGAAACGTGAGACACTTGTAATGCTCAACCGTTTCGGTGGTTTGTCCGTATTTCTACAGAGCATGGAACAATGGCAGATACGATTAGATAGGAACGCGAGGATAGAGAAGATCAGAAAAAATAAAACAATGAAGATAAGATGTATAATAGAAGATCTAAATGTTAGCAAAGGCTACAAGGTGTGACGGTATGAGCAGTAGTAGATTAAATGGACTAATAGAGATATAGCCTACGGGGAACTCCGTATCATGGATGGAGAAGACAGACAAGCAAGAAGTGAAAGAGTGTCACGAATTAAGCCATGAGGTGCAGGGGCGCGGGGCGCTCCGGACCAGTCATTACTGCAGGACGTCCAACCAATGACGTACAAGCATGGGGGATGCTCAGTAGGGGACGAGCCTTTAGAGCAAGCGCTCAAAGTGCTCAGGAGTGGAGACTCTGAGCACCGCGATCATCCAGGTGCTCACAGTGCTCAGGACTGAGGCCCATGAGCACGATGAGCACCTCAGGATGGTTACTATATAGTCATTCGTTCTGGAGGACTCTGGGAGTTCTCCAGTAAGCAACTCTAGTGCAAGTTTGTCAGTACCTTTGGACATTTGCTTGTTGTGCACCTTTTGGCTTCACCGAACCTCATCCCGTTGTCAAGTTAACCTTCAGGAGTCTCTCTCAGTGGTCTGGGACCAAGATCGTCACAAGGAGAAAAGGAACTAGGAAGGGAAGGAGGAGGAAAGGGCGGAAGCTTTGACCTAGAGGGGAAAAGGAAGGCGCAACCGAGGAAACAAAACTACTCAGAAGGATATATTATCGATATTTAACCTTGAAAACTAGGAACTAATTAGTTTGTCCTATTCCCTTCCAAGATCAACACGAACGAACAAGTCTGATTCGTATCATAGAGCCGAAATCGACATTTGCTTTCTCCGCCAACCAGATAGTATTCAACATGACGCTCTTCCCCAGCAAAAAGCAGGAATCAATATCTCTACGCTGTACTTAGCATCCAGCAGCCTGAAGCCAGTACATACCCGCTAAACGCTGCCCTTTCCCCAGCCACGCCACAAGAACAACCGCCAGCGATTACAACCGAGAGCAGAGAGTAGGTAAATCCAGAACCAACGCCCATAGGCCCACTGTTTTCCCAACACAGTACGCCAGAGGAAGTACGAGATGGATAGCCAAAGCAATCCTAGACGCAGACAAGAACAAGCCCCAAGGCGGTTGCTGACAGGTAAAAAGGGCCGCAACACAACCTCGCCCAGCGTGCTTTAACAGGAAGATTGAAACCCAAAGCGCCCGAGAAGAGAGAGACTGTAGGGATAGGGGAACACACTCGGCAGGGAGAAAAACAGAACAAGAAAAAGGAAGCCCAGGAGTCACCCTACCCGTCCATCACTCCCTCCCAATCCCCATTCCCCTCCCCCTACCAACACCACCACTCGCCGCGCTCTCCCCAACCCGGAGCTCCTCCTCGGGCACACCCACGCCAACCGCGCTCCCCGTCACACTCACAGAACTCACCGCCCGCGACCTCTCGCCCTCCCTCCTTCGCGGCTGACGCTCACCACCCTGGCTCTGAGCCTGAGCCTGAGCCTGACCCAAGCCCCCCTCCTTCACCGACGCCGCGTCCCTCACCAGCTTCTCCAACTCCCTCACCCTCCGCCGCAGCGCCTCATTCTCCCGCTTGATCTCCTCAAACTCGGCCCTCCGAAGCGCCGTCTCCTCGTACCGGGTCGTGGCGGGCAGGATGCCAGGCGACAGTTCGCTGGTGGTGGTCGTGGTGGTGGTGGTCGTCATGGTCGACGCAGGGGTGGCGAGCGCCGGTGTGCTGGTGGCGTTGGTTCCCGACTGCGATTGCGACTGCGACTGCGCCGAGTGGATGCGCATCATCCGCGGCGGGGCGGCGGTGAAGTAGCTCGGCTCGCTCGCGTAGTGGTGGTGGGTGGTGGTGGCGGTGTAGCTGCCGGAGAGGGACCCGGGCGCAGGAGAGGGGGAGCCGGCTCTGCTGCGGCGCGAGGCGCTGCTGTTTTGTCGGCTGAGGGGCACGCCGCCTCCGGTGATTGCGATCGGGGGCTGGGCGGTGGGGCGCACGGGCGCCGGGGAGGAGATGCCTGCGAGTGAGGCGGTGGAGACGGAGCCGGCGTTGGCGGTGACGCTGCGGGTGCTGGCGCTCGACGAGGTGCGGTGGTGGCGCATGGGCTGGTAGTGGCTCGTGCCGAGCGGGGGTTGGGCATTGTCGCTCCACGACTGTCCGGGCTCGGTACCCGAGGCGCTAGCTGAGGTGGAGGAGGCGTTGGAGACGACCGAGGCGTTCTGAGCGGCGCGTAGGAGTGAGAGTTCGCGGGTGAGGCGGTTGACCTGGGCAGGAGAGGGTTAGACGATGGGGGGTAGTAGTGGGATGGGGGGTCATCATACCACTGCCTCTTGCTCCTTCTCGAGCTGCAGATGCAGGTCCACTGCGGTCAGAGGACGCGGGTGTCGTAGAGGCCCAGGCCCGGGGCCAACGCCAGTATTGTCGATCATGGGAGAACCAGTAAAGGAGGCGGCAGGCGGGATATGCGGGGACGGCAGAGACGACGAAGGGTTGGCGGCGGTCTGATTCGAGGGGAGGATGTTCAACGACGGCGAACCTGGGGCGGGAGGAGGCGGCATCTGGTGGGAAGAAGCTTGACGCGATGAGGACGCGACAGGATGGGGCGACGACGGAACAGAATTGAGGTCGGGCATGGTGACTGGGTGGAAGACGTTGTCGGTGCCTAGCGGGCGGGAACAAAATAACGTCGTTACTCCGTCGAGGCCCTCCTAGCACGGCGGGTGACGATTGCAAGACCCACGTCCGAATGAGTTCAGCTTGCATTCGAGTTGTTGAGGACTGGGCCAAGAGTCAATGACTGTTTCATCAGCAGGCAACCAAAACAAAAGCGATCAATGAATGGCATGGTAATATGGCCAGTAATGCGGCCGTTGGCCTCCTCAGGATCATGAGCGGTCGAGGCGGTTGGGGACGGGGACGAAGGGAGAAGGTGGGAGGAAGGTCGAGTGGATCTAGGCCCCACTCTCACGGGCTTGGAGTGCTGAGACCCACAAAATAAGGCGGGACTTCAACTTGGCGACGGACAGGGCAGGCAGCACAAGGGACATGAAGCAGGGTGTGTTTTGCTGTTAGTGACCATGATGTAATGCGTCATTGACGGGATGCCAATCTACTGCGGTACAACCGCGATGCATATAAATCTCCTCCGCCATCTATCATGACCAAGTTCGGAATATTCCAATCTTCATCGTGCCTCACAACGCGAATACCCACCTGACTTTGCACGGCAGAAATAGCACAGGTGTGTTAGTGATCCGCCACTGCGCTCTCAAGATCTGAGGGAAGCTGACTCTCGAGTTAGAACAACCCCATTCATCACCCATCATGTCCGACAAGCCCGATACACTTGAGCGCGGCCAGTCCCCGCCCCCGGAGCGGTCGTCTGGCAAGCAGATGATTGATCCTCCTGCGTCCGGCCACGGAACCAACAAGGTACCGCACAAAGCGGACGCCAACAAGGAGGCCATCGAGGTGGGCAATGGTTCTAAGCAGAGTTGGAGCCCCGAACAAGTCGCTGACAACGCACAGCATCTGACATCCAACCCCAAGGGGCCAATGGAGGACCATGCTGAACAGCAGACTGCCAAGGGACCAGTGGAATCACAGTTAGCTGCTTGAGGTGTCGTATTCGGTTCTGATGTTTTTGGAGGGTTCCTGCTCTCGGTTTCGTTTTGTTTTAGCGTTAGGTTTAATGCATAGATTGTAGGCTCAATGGCATCCGGAGCTATCACTCCCGAAAAGGCCAGTACCTGACTTTGAATGCTCGCTGTTCCTGATTTGCGAGATATGCTCGACTCAGAAACTTCATGTCTGCCTCCACTCGTTTGTCGTCGTCATCCAGGTGCCGGGCACAGCCACACATAAGGTAGCCTGCCCCATTAATGGCCACAGCTGGGTATCGAGGTGGTAAGGTAGGCTCGTAGGGCAGGTAGGTTCCACACAGTCACATGCATGCAGCAGCGCCCTGGTTCTGGCCGCACCGCCCGCTTCGTGTGCCCCCCGCAATCAGGCAATGACGACATGTTCGCCCCTCCCCTCACTGCAACGCCCTTGGCATGCTGGCAACGAACCACGCGTCCCAACTCCCTCAGCCCGCTTCATGAAGGCTCCTTCATTTAACCCGCTTTCTAATAAATACTCATTGACCAGACCAGAAACATCACCTCCCTGGCCCGAGCACATCACTTCAGAAACCTTTGACTGCATCAACCTGCGACAACAAGCCAGACTTCCAAGTAACCTACACCTCTCTGCATATCAACAACCAGCTACACACCTTATCCGTCAACATGGCGACCACCGTGCACGTCAACAACATTGGCGGCGAGACCGAAGACAAGGAGATTAAGGACTTCTTCAGCTTCTGGTAAGCTTCTCTTTTCGTTTCCAGTCACTTAAGGCCCTCGTACTGTCATCTCCAAGCGGCGCAACAGCTCCCTTCTATACCCCTCACCCTCTCCTAACTATTGACTCGCCCGTTAACCTCCCCCTCCCAGCGGCAAAATCTCTTCCATCGACATCAGACCCGAAGGCACTTCCAAGACCGCCACGGTAATCTTTGAGAAAGAAACCGCCGCCCGCACCGCCCTCCTGCTCAACCACACCAAGCTCGGCGGCAACGAGATCACCGTGACCGGCGAGACCAAGGACGCCCCGCCCCAAGACACCTCCAGCTCCTCCACCGACACGGCCGAGCTGAGCCAAGAGGAGAAGCCGCGGGCGCGCGTGCTGGCCGAGGTCTTGGCGCACGGCTACCTGGTGGCGGACCAGGGCCTACAGACGGCCATCAAGCTGGACGAGCA